TATTGCAGATGGCACAACTCTTGGAATCACTCCACCAACAGTTGTGTCGTTTTCAGAGATGTCATACAAGAAGGAATAATTGCAGGGAGATTGAAGCTGGCAGAAAAACCTCCCTCAGTTACGACAGATCCTTTTCCCCAGCCCCAAGTTAACATGGTCAATCTAAATTGGCCAGAACGAAGGGAAAATGCCAGTTCCAGCAGGAGCAGGAGAAGTACAAAGGAGAATTTCCAAAGGCCAAAGGCGACCATCTCGGCTGGGAAAGTACTATGCAGTAAATGCAAGTGTGAAAGTAAGTTAGAAGCTACTATGGACAGGCAGAAACAGCCCACACACAGCGTGTTTGACCGGATTGGAACTTCGCACCAGCAAGGCCTAGCTCCGATTCCTCCCAGAAACAGAGTCAGACAAAGGGATTATCTTAGGCCAGATCAGCACAACAGAAGAATCCCAGAGCACCCTAAGGCGGAGATACCAATTAGGATGCCGGGAAATGACAAGCCCTTAGCAACTATCGCAGAGGGAAGATGGTATTCCGTTGGAAAAAGCGGCAGACCAACCTTGGAATTAACCAGAACTCAGAAAAGAAGAGTTCAGAGGCAATATTCCACCTTCCTTAGAAACAGGAAAGATGCACAGGTGTTGACAGAGCCAAATTCTGCCAGAAGTAGAGAAAATCCAGAAGCAATTCCTCAGGCAGAACAGACAGGACATAAATCCCAAAAGCTGATAAAGACAGAACCATTCATCTGTTCAATCTCATCCCCAGCCGATCAACCCAAACTTCAACAAGTACAAGAAGGGCCAGAACCTGTTCCAAAAAAAGAACAACAAGGCTGGACTGAAGAAAACGAGGAGGAACAGTTGGACTATGAGCCATCCGCAGAGGATCAAACTGGTTTCCTCGAGACGGGAGAACAAGGAGACTGGACAGAAGAAATGGAGTATGACGGAGGGCTAGATGAAGAAATCGAAGCTTTTGGGGCAGAATTGGAGAACTTGTTGCAAGGTGATCTTGGCATTAACATGGTATTTATCCTATCGGAGAGATTCAGGGCAGCAGAGGGACAAGGAAGCACTCTGGAGGGAGACGTACTCTCGCAAGAAAGCTTCGAGTGCAGACTGGCGGAAGTAGAAGAAGCGCCAGAACAGCAATTGCCTGCTGCCAGAACAGGCGGAACCACCATGAAACCAGTTGCAGAACAGCTCTGTTTCTCCAAGCCGACCAGGGAAATGGCCAATCACCTCAGGCCTCTATTCATAACCGCAAACTTTGGAGGCATTCCTATTTCCAAGGTAATGGTAGATGGAGGTGCAGCCATCAATCTTCTACCGCACAGATTGCTGAGCAAGATGGGCAGAACAGATAAGGATCTAATTCCAACACGTTTGACCGTCACCAACTTTGCTGGGGGCATCACTAAGACTCATGGAATTCTGGACGCAGATGTCATTGTTGGAACCAAAAAGCTGAAAATCGCATTCTTTGTGGTGGACACTACTTCTACTACCTACAATGCATTACTCGGAAGAGACTGGATTCACCAAAGCCTCTGCGTTCCTTCTACTCTGCATCAGCAGCTAGCTCTTTGGCATGAAGAAGGTTACATGGAGATAGTAGAGGCCGATCCACGGCCATTTCTGCCCTCTTCCATGTGTTTTGAAGCAAGGTACTATCATGATGACCTTGGTCCTTTCTCTTTCTTTGGAGTCAACCAGAACGGCCGCCCTCACGGTGTCACGGCCCAAAGACTCATTGAAGACGGTCTGGCCAGTTCTCTAGAAGACTGGAATAGGCCTTTTGTTCTGAACCTCCAGAACTCCGATGTTTAGTCCCAATCAACAGGAAAAGGATCGAGCTGCAACAATCCGATCCATTACAAAAAGATTGTTGATATACTGAGAAGAAAGGAAACTCATTGTGCAGAATCCAGCCATTAATATGGCAGAATTCACGCATGAGAGCATCGAAGAACAGGAAGAGAGTTTACAGGAGGAAATATTGGACTTTGCACCATCAGCACTAGATGATTCCTTACCAGAAGTGGAAGATCCATTACAGGAGATTAATCTAGGGACAGAAGAGGATTCAAGACCTACTTTCATTAGCGCACTACTAGAAGAACCGCTCAAAAGCGAAATCATCACACTTTTGCGTGATTTCAGAGATTGTTTTGCTTGGCATTATCATGAAATGCCTGGATTAGACAGGAAACTGGTAGAGCACAAGCTGCCTATCAAAGAAGGCTACCTTCCAGTTAAACAGGCCAGAAGAAGAATGTCCATGGAGACAGAATTAAAAGTCAAAGAAGAGATAGAAAGATTGCTCAAAGCAGGATTCATTAGGCCGACCATTTACATTGACTGGCTAGCCAATATTGTCCCGGTTCTGAAAAGAAAAACAGGGGCAGTAAGGATCTGCGTGGATTACAGAAATCTGAATGAAGCATCCCCCAAGGATGAATATCCTATGCCTATGGCAGATATGCTAGTAGATGGAGCTGCTCAGAACCAAATGCTATCTTTCATGGACGGCAACGCAGGGTATAATCAGATCATGGTAGTAGAAGAAGATATCCATAAAATAGCTTTCATGTGTCCAGGGCACATAGGTGCTTTTGAATACACTGTAATGCCTTTTGGCTTACGAAATGCAGGAGCCACTTATCAAAGAGCAATGAATTCTGTTTTCCATGATATGATAGGACATTCTCTAGAAGTATATATAGATGATGTGATAATTAAATCCAAGGAAGTAGAAAATCATGTGTCCAATCTGAGAAAGGCATTCCAAAGAATGAGACAACATAAATTAAAGATGAATCCTAAAAAATGTATTTTTGGAGTACAGGCAGGAAACTTTTTGGGTTTTTTGGTCCATCAGAGGGGCATAGAAGTTGACAAAAATAAAGCAAAATCCATTATAGAAGCTCAACCACCTCGGAACAAGAAAGAGCTGCAAAGTCTTCTGGGAAAAATTAACTTCCTAAGAAGATTCATATCCAATTCCGCGGGAAAGATTCAGCCCTTTTCTTCCTTGTTAAGGCTAAAACAGGAACAGACTTTTAAATGGGAAGGACAGCATCAACAGGCTTTTGAAGAAATTAAGCACTATCTGTCAAATCCACCAGTTCTGTCCCCACCAAAGAAAGGCAGACCGCTCAAACTCTATGTGTCTGCATCAGGAACGTCAATTGGAAGTCTGTTAGCCCAAGACAACAAGGAAGGGAAGGAACAAGCGGTATACTATCTGAGCAGAACTCTGACAGAAGTAGAAAGAAATTATTCTACAATCGAAAGGCTTTGTCTGACTTTATATTTCACTGCTATAAAACTCAGACACTACATGCTGCCATTTACCATTTATATCATTGCCAAGACAGACCTAATCAAATATATGCTAACAAGGCCAATGCTAAGAGGCAGAATTGGGAAATGGACTCTGGCTCTGACAGAATTTGCTTTCAGATATGTCCCTCAGAAAGCTGTCTCTGGCTTTATATTTCACTGCTATAAAACTCAGACACTACATGCTGCCATTTACCATTTATATCATTGCCAAGACAGACCTAATCAAATATATGCTAACAAGGCCAATGCTAAGAGGAAGAATTGGGAAATGGACTCTGGCTCTGACAGAATTTGCTTTCAGGTATGTTCCTCAGAAAGCTGTCAAGGGACAAGCTGTAGCAGATTTCCCAGCCGATCATCCAGGAGAAGAAATTGAAAATATGGACTCTTTGGATATCGCAAATGCAGATCTACTAACGAGAGCTCATGTTTGCCTTAACAATCCCATTTATTCGATTCACCTCACACCTTGGAAGCTATACTTTGATGGATCAAAAACTGACTTAGCTTTCGGAGCAGGGATTGTTCTAGAGGAACCTTTGGGAGTCAGACATTGTTATTCTTTTCAGTTAGATTTCCAATGCACCAACAACAGAGCTGAATATGAAGCTTTAATCATTGGCCT